GGGGCAAAAAAACCCGGCCCCCCCCCCCCCCCCCCCCCCCCACACACACACACACACACACAACAAAAGCATAGGCTTCAAAACACTCACTAGATCCAGCAGGCCCCCCATAAACAGCAGCACAGCCTACAAGTTCAACAGATCCATCGGAACCCGCAACAACAAATGTCAAACATAGGTTGATTAGACAGACGGTTTAACAGACAGGCAGATAATTGTAACTCTCATCTGTCTGAACTTGTATATAATATACCCAACGCCACTTTCTTGTGGCACAATGGACTAGAGAATGCAATCATGTGTTTTCCTATCCGACATATATAACTGGGAGGCACATGAGGAATTTGATCCATATGAACCTGTGTGGTCTGATTACAAAGTTGGCTAGTAAACCCATGCAGTGGTCTCACACTGCAACACTTAAAACTGAAACACTGACAGAAACATTCAACAAGGAGTTGCTGATCTTTTAACAGATTTGAAACCTTTATACAATTCAGCAATACAGAGGACCTGATCCCAAAAGATTATCCAGGATATGATCCAATGTTCAAGAATCAGCCAGATAAATTGAGGCCAGGCAAACTAATGCAACCCTGGCAGTCAGTCCACGAGGGTGTACTTCAAAGGCTCAACCACTCAATGTCAGCCTGAATAAGGCTTTCAAGGGACATCTGCAAAAACTATGGGCTGACCATCAGGGAGAGAAGACAGCACTGAGGACTGGCAGAATGCTTGAACACAGTGGTGCAATGGATTACCACTGGGACAAGAAATAAAAGAAGACCAAAATGAATATACCCAAGGCCTTTAAGATTACCTATTGGGGAAACACATGCTGAAGCTGAGGACTTGAATGCTACTATGCTTCACATTCTGTGGTAGTAAGTGAGCCCATACAAGCCGAGATAGTAACAAAAGCTATGCACTACTGAATCAAATTGGGAATTTACAGATAAAAATGCATATCATAGTTTTTTGACACCGCACTGATTTTTTTTATAAAGGGGAGTTAAGTCTTTCAGAAAAGGTTTAAAAATCCTCACTGAAATAAGGCACAAAGCGCATTGGTAAGTAGCAAAAAAAAAATATGTGAAATATTTAATCTAAATATAATAGATTCATTATCTTTCAAATGAAAAACACTTTGCTCATTCATATACCTACTAGTAAGTAGTTTGCAATTGCAGAGCATGCAAAACATCAACTCATTTGCAAACTTTGTAAACAAGTCCTATATTTTGAAAGAAATATCATAAAGCAAATGGTTTTCATGACCTCAGACTTGACATTTTTAAACCGTGTTATTTTCTGCAATCTGTATCTTTTATGTAATATACTGATGTTGCTAATGTCTAACCCCTATTTCATTTTATAGTACCGTTTACCAATTCTATCACTTTTATCATGCTCTTTTTTTGTATGATAAATATCACTCTAAGCATGCCTTCATTCAATTTCATTATAATTCTGAACAATTTTCACTTATAGATGCACATGCAGCTATGGTGAGTTTTCCACAGTTGAAATATATTTACTCCAAATACAGGACTAAACTTCCCCCTGTCTGTGTCAACTATCTTCTTGCATCTGTTCTTCATCCTCCTCCTCCTCTTCCTCTGATGTAACATCAGGATCATCAATTTGAGACTGGCACAATGAACAGTTACAGTTAAAAAGATAGTTCTCCCTAAAAATAAAACTTTTAATCTTACAAGCTTCATTGCAGTAAATTGATAGGAAGTACATCTTGATTTAGATTTTGTCAAATAAAAAATGTTATTCAAGGGTAATAAGAAGCAATAATATCTTCCAAAAAATGTAAAATCTGGAGGAGGTAACACCTGTCACGGATTAACTCTATTTTCAACAACAATTTCACTATAAGCTTTTATCTACAAGTGAAAAGCGTGATCAAATATGATTTATTCACATTTAAATTTTAATTGCTAGACAAGACTACTAAAAAAAATGTTTGTTCATCATTCTTCGTGACCAACCTGAGAGCTTTTTGTCTGCTATGTCTACTTCTTTCCCTGTCACACTCGTCTAGGTAAGAAATGCAGATTTCTTCTCCTGCTTTGATATCCTGCACTGCTACCATCTGCAGTGTGAAGTTATTGTGGGGGAAGGTAACCTCTGCATTAGGTTGGCAACTGTGGTTACCTGAGAGAGAAAACAATTTGAAATCAATAACAAAAGCAATACTGGCATTTGTCTTGCTGTAGACAAATCATTGCCTTTACTGCAATTTAATGGAGAAAAATCATAAATATTTCTTCTTTGGCTTACACCTGATATATTGTTAGTGAATTTTTTTCACCAACTGCCACCAAGAAACAACCTCTTAAGATGTATGAAACGCTCCCCTCACAAATGAACTTAAAATGAAAATTCTGCCAGTTTACTTTACTGAAGAGAATCTTTAGATACTGAAGACACCAAGACTTACAAGCACTTTGGAAGGTATAAAGACCTGATCCCTCACAGTTCAAAAATGTACCAGACTCTGAAAATAAGGAAGTATGCTTACTTACACAAAAACTACAGAAAACTACACAGATGATACACAGAATACTAAACTCACACATTCTTTTTATATAATAAATAGACCCAAACAGTAGAGGTTTAGCCATATCAAAATACTGAATAACAACTTTAAAATGCTTTTCGTGAATATAAAAAGATAAGTAGAACTCCTGCCGTCATATATGACACTGATACTCACCTTTCTCTATATCAACATACAACTGATCAATGAAGGCATCTAAAGTCTGTCTCTCTTCATCCGACAGCTCCAGTGCATCACAGTTGTGAACCCATACACTCAGAGAACTGAAAGGACAAAAATAATGCTTGTACATTAAGAAAAATAAATGCTATATTAAGAAAAATAAACGCTATTTGTATTTAATTGTTTCAGCATTAGGGACTTCATGCATTGACACCTATCCCAAATTTCTGCATTTTGGTGTTATTTTACTGACAATACCAATACGAACAATAGCCTTGTGCAATTTGCAAATATAAGCTGATAACAATGACTTAATAAAGAGATACAAATTAATGCCAAAAAGTGACTCTGATGAATCTGTACTACATTTTACCTTGTACCAACACCTTGTCCATTTGTACCAATAAGAGCAAACAATGATCTAAATCCCTCTGGCGTGAACCACTGAAAATACATTTCACTAAATATTAGGCCAAGCTTCACCAATAGTGGGTTCAAATAGGTTGAACAACAAGGAGAGTGGAATAATCTAAACAATGGAATAATCTTAGCTATTCATTTAAGCTGCCTTTTGCAAATTTATTACACATAATTTTGGGACCATCTCTTTGGGTCTTTGCACCAACATTTTTCCAGCATTGATTCTTTCTGGCATCGATATGGCCCTACAGCAGTACAGTGTAGAAGACAAATGATGCAAGAATATTAAAGGATGCAGACCATCATTTCACCAATATAATATAAAACAGGTGCCAAAGAATCAAGGACAATTGGCATTGGCAAGGAGGCTAACTGCATAATAAAGTTCTTTGCTTTTGATTGTCAATGCAACAAAAATTACAAAGTTATGTGAACATGAGAATAAAAAGCTAATGGAAGAAGAAGCAATGTAAACCAAAAGAATGGAGAAAGCAAAACACAAATTTCACCTACCTGCTGCACATGTTCATCATAAAATGCTTCACAAACCAAGGAACGAAGGATCTCCAACTGTTCCTGAAATTGGAATAACATACCACTGATTGAGAAAAGTGCAGTATAAAAAGATACGTTACTAGGCAGCTTAATGACCAGTCTTACTTAAAAAAAAAAAAAAAAAACAGATATATGTTAAATTCCATATATGTAATTACAAATAAATTTCTTCTGATGCGCCTACCTGGAATTCTTTCCCTAAAAGTTTGTGTGCTATATGCTCTTCTTCGTTCACAGTTGATTTGCAAAATTCAGCAAATTTGGACAAAATTTGGTCTTTTTTGTCACACTGAATGTAAAAAGAAAGCTGTACTTAATGCAATCATTCTAACACTTCAATAGCATCCATTTAAGGATGTACATATATAGAAAAAGTTCAGGAGTTGAGACCTCATTCTTTTTCAAAATGACATTTAATTTATCAAATGACGAAAAATTGTTTGTAACTATTTGCATGCCTTTTAAAATTTAATCTAAGAATAAATGTTTTGCATTTAAAACTTTACCTGTTTCACTAATGCTATCATCCTTGCAATTAACATAATACTTGATGTTTCTGGAGGGTAGTGCATATTCCTAAATAAACAAGTCTTTGTACTATACATTCAAATCCTTGACTGCCTGGGAAAATGGGGAGAAACATAATCCTCTACCTCAAATCGACATGCATTTGGTGGTGAAACAAATATTCTGTGTTGTTGATGTATTTTGTATATAAGTAAATAAATTACTCAGCGGTCAAGTACACCATGTACTCATTATGCAATCACAATTGATACTCTAATGCCTTTAGATTCAGAACTGCTGTGTATCTGTGTACATCACATTCAGTTGAAGCTTATGTTACAGAAAAGAAGGGTGTGGTTTCAATGTTTTTGACTTTCAAGATGCTACTATAACTTGTAAATGCACTGAATAAGAAAAAAAAAAGAATTGTCACTCAAGATTTAATCTGAACACACACAACAATTCCTTTTTTTTTCATTTTATGAAGATTTCATTGACAATTAAAATATTATTACCTCCAAGCATCTTTTAGTTTTTCTGTAGGATGATTAGGATCAGCAACTGAAGCTCCTTGACAAAGCACTCTATGGTAGAGATGCCAGGCTGAATCTCTACAGCCATCACTACAGTACAGCACCTAGAAATCCACCAAATGATAGCAATTCAACATACTGATAATAACCAGGCAATAATAATAATTAATCATGCTTGCAATGGCCAATTCAGGTTTTTGTTTTGATAGGGGGCATGGGGGAGGGCAATGTGGAGTAGAGCCATCCTCCCTTCAGAAGCTACTATTTGATATCTGAAAAGCAAGGTATTTTTTTAAAGCAATAATAACTCTTCCTTTGAGATTCAAAAATCCGCATGAAATACATTGTAAACAACGCATGGAAATATATTCTATTGTATTTTACCACTAAAACGGCCGTTATTGTAGGAAAACTAAAATCTGTGCTTGTCAATAGGACTTTCGATCCCTTTTTTCCGGTCGACAAGTGCATTCGTTGCTAATGACGTAATGGTGTCACGCGGATTCTCGCGTTCATTCGAGACCAAAATAACATGGCGGGAAACCCTCAGACGTAAGTTGCAAGTTTTTGTACAGTGTGTCGGAAAACGAAAAAGCCCAGAATGGCACACATTGTGGATATAAATGCATTTTTAACAAAAAGACGAATATATCTCATGAATCTTATATAGTGTTGTTGTTGTC